TATATATATATATATTCACAGAGAGACATGACAAAATTTATTATGTATCAGGATAAACTCTCTGAGATGTATGATCTCATTTTCAAGGGGGAGACCTGTAGACTTACCTGCAGGAGTTTTACAGAACGTACCTTGGTGTCACTGCAGTATGTAAAATCCCTGACTTTTTCTCCATTGGCTAACACATACTGGGGTGGTGAGGGCACACCAAACACCCGCAGCCCTCCCAGGACCAGACCGTCCAAGGCCCCATTCAGCCTGAGAGGATCACTCACAATCTGACACTGAAGTAGAACAATTTTCATTTTGCTTTTGTATAAATCTATCATTTAGCAAACTGATTTTTGACTGAAGTTGGAAAGTAGCACGCAGTACTCATGTCTTTCCTACCTGTCCCGCAGTGAAGATAATGTAACAATAGTTTCCCATTTCATAAGTGTCAAGACTGTCCCCATCATCCCAGAACAAGCTGCCCCAGGCCCAGCCGCCCGCTGATAGTGCCACAGTCAAGAAGAAAGGGTTTCTACGTGAGGCTGTGGTTGTTAAAGCAGGCTCCTTCACAAGAAATGAAAGATCAACCAAAACATGATGAAATTATATAAAATGCACTCTCCTTCCAAAGTATTTCAGCTAGTTATTAACATTAAGAAGTCAGTCATGCCGTCATTATAGTAGTATGTCGATACTACACTGGCCTCAAACACAATTCTGCTAATTGTAAGTAAAAGGTGTAAGGAAAGTACTTGTTTCAGTTATGTATTTAAGTTTTCCCATCCTCAAATATTTTATTAATAATTCATCTACCACAATTTGTCTCTCACTGAACCATAGATGAGAGACACACCTGCTGAGGGAGAATGTGCCCCTCTCTCACATGGACGTTGATGGTGTCAAGAGGGGCTGGCAGGAGCATGTACTGACCCTTACTGCGGAAAGGCTGGCCCTAGGGAAAGCAAAACAGGACATTGTGACCTTTAACAGTTAACAATCAAATAACAGAGTGAACATTTGTGGTGAACTTTGGCTTGAGCCTCATATGCCAGTGGTATTGTGAGACGGAAAGTTGAATAGGGTTGAGTGACTCACATTGTGCAGACTATACCAAGTGCCGGGGGGCAGATAGGCAGTCAACTCTACTACCCCTTTCTCTAAAACTGGGCTAATGAGAAGTGAACTCCCCCACAGGAACTGTCGGTCTATGGTCTGACAGTTAGGATCTGTGGGAAACCTAAGAGGGATGGATACACGGGGAGCAAAAATAAAATGTTACAGAAAGTTAGAATTGGACAGAATGCATACAGGCACTTTATGTAGGGCAATAGATAATAAAAATAATTGTGAAAAAGAAGAAGACACATACTCCATGAAGAGTGGCCTGGCCACGGTGTCAGCAGAGGTGTGTGCATGATGGAAGAGTGTGTAGAGGAATGGGAGAAGGGAGTAACGAAGGTTCAAAGCACTCCGCATGGCACTCTGGGCATTCTGCCCAAATACATAGGGCTCTTGAGGCTAAGGGACATACACACATAGAAACGCACAGACAATATGAAGAGATAGAGTTACATCTCTTTATAATGCAACACAGGAACTGCCCTAGACACTGTAAAAAACACACAGGACCTCTATGTCATCATTAACCCCCGAGAACTGTTATAAAATACGTTTGCACATATATATGTGACTAAACATACAAGTTTTCAAACACATACAAAGATACAGTGCACACACAGGCAAACACACAAACAACATCTGCCTCACAGCATTTGGCTTGTCATTGTGGTTCCTCATAAATGGGTAGAAGGCACCAAGCTGCATCCACCGTACACACAACTCTTCAGTGGTGTTCCCTCCAAAGCCACAGATGTCTGCCCCCACCAGGGGCACCCCAAACAGGCCGAACTGCAGCACCGCTGGGGGTTGACAGGTGCAAAAGGTCAGTCTAAATCTATCACACAGTCTGAGGTCACTTCAAAAAAGACTGAACTTTTATTTTACCACAAGCAGGTTAATCCAGCATTCAAGCAAGACCTATTACTCTATTTCAGGTAATGGACTACTGCATACATACACAAAGCTTTCAGAAAGTACATCACCTCACCAGGGATGGAGTATCGAAGCTGCTCCCAGTCACTCCTGACGTCTCCTGTCCACACTCCAGCAAAGCGTCCAATGCCAGGGTAAGAGGAGCGCGACAGGACAAAGGATCTCTTCCCTCGTACCTTTGTAAGAGCACTGAGGATGGCAACCAACCCCAGAATGACAAATATCCAAAGCCAAAGAACAACAATACTCAGTTCAAAACTGAAATCACCATGTTACAACTCCAAAATGCGCAATAAACATATGTGGAAACCATTAATAGCAATTAAAATTTCATTGAGCTATACTCTGAGGTGTTTTTATGCAACACAGTCTTGACATACTGTACTTTTAAATACCTACAGTAGTTATCACTTTAATGGCTTGCATTAAATGCCAACTGCTGCTATAAACTTACTGCTTAATTTTACTCTGCTACTCATAGTCACATAATCCAACTCTTGCAAAGTGCATTTGATCTAACCTGTGGGTGGAATATGCTTCTGTCAGCCCGTACATATTGTGTAGGTTGTAGTGAGTAGACAGCTTCTGCTGAGCTGACATGCAAAGAGTTCCTGAGTTCAACTGGCCTCCAACCACCCCTGTTTGTACGACAGTCAGAGACGCACACAAGTGAATGCAAATAACTGGATTTAACAATGAACAGATGAGCTATGCATCTATGTTCATTTACATGGTATCTTGTAAGAGCTATGTATCTATGTTCATTTACATAGTATCTTGTACAGTACCCATATATCACTCGAACATATACAGTATAATTAATTGTAAATTTAATGTGCTACACTGATCCAGTATACATACTGGGTGTGTAGGGTGGATTCTCAAGATCACTGTTAGGACAGCCCTCCACTGAGCCCTGGACAAAATTGGCTGGTTCATTCATATCCTGGGGGGAGCATGGAGTATAAACAACACAGGACGAGTTATTCTTTTGTGATTTTAACATGAAAACTAAACTAAACACAGCCACAGAGTTCATTTTAGACCTTCCAAACATCCTATATATGGTAAATGGACTGTATTTATATAGTGCATTTTTCCACAGTGTGTTACACTGGCCAAAGCGCTTTACAGGAGATCATACGCCATTCACCCATTCACACACCGATGACGACAGGCTGCCACACAACGGCGCTAGTCAAGCCACCGGGAGCAATTTGGGGTTCAGTGTCTTGCTCAGGGACACTTAGGCATGCGGGGAGACCAGGAGTCGAACCACCAACTTGCTGGTCAGGAGACGACTGCCCTACCTCGTGAGCCACAGCCACCCTTATATATCTAATTTTTTCATTATAGCAATGGCTAAACTACTTGTGTGTCTGTGTGTGAACATACAATCCACAAACCATCCACAGGCACTTTAGAATGAAAATCTCTGATGCAGTCTTCCCACCACTGCTTGGTCTTTGGGTTGGTGAAGTCAGGAAAGGCTGTTGGACCAGGCCAAACCTTAATATGGCAATATATATATATATATGATACATGATATGGTAATGCACATGAAAACATAAGACACACACTGTACACAACTCATCAAGGGACAGAAAAGCATAAACCCCTAGAAATAGAAAGGTCTGACCTTCCCTATCAGGATGTGTCCTGTAGCATTTTTAATGAAGACATCTTGTTTTAGTCCATCATCAAAGGGAGGATAAGTTCCAGGGGGGCTGGTGCTGCTGATTCCTGGGTCCTGAGGCAGAAACCAGGACAGAAGGAATCAGTCACAATTTAAGAACCTTTTGCTGCCATCTACTGGAGATACGTCATTACTGATTACTTAGTTTTGGTTAAGCAGTTCATGTCATGTGTTTGCATGTGTGTTTTCTTTCTGAGATCTTTTACACTTAAAGATGTCACACCAGAATCAGGATGTACTTCATGCCTCTCTTATGGAACTCCTCCACCATCTCTGGGAGGTCCCCAAAACGCCAGGTGTCAAAGGTAAAAATCCTGCGCTTATCTGCATAATCCAGATCATTCCACTGCACATCCTGATGGTGAGAAAAGTAAAATAATCTTAGGAACAATGATAGTTAATGAGGAGTCCTGATGCATCTAAAAATTATGTGAACTATGTGAATTATCTGTCAGCTGATAACAAATTATGACATTCACCAAGTGTTGGTTGGATTCACAAACGCTGGCAATGTTGATTTTAACCATTTTATATTAAGAGTTTTCACACACTTACAAAACCTCTCTAATCATGGAAAATAGCCTGAAAGCATAATTTACCAGGGGAAAGTCATCACTGTGCATGCGCTGTGCAACCTTTCGTGTTGTATTAGTGGTTGTGTAACCCCAGCGACACAGATGAAAGCCCAGTGACCAATACGGGGGCATCATAGGATAACCTGGCATAGATAAATGATAATATAAAAACTCATGAACAGAGCCCCTCTTCTCCAGGTTGACTGAAGGCTCCTTCAAATATATACACACCAACATTCTTTTAAAAGACATACCAATGACCTGGAGGTACTCAACATTCTTTTAAAGTTTTCCCCTAAAAAATTACAAGTGTATTTTGTTTTTATACATGGGCCTGTTACTGTTGCCAGCTGGTAATGTGTTCCTGTATTTCAACTCTGAAAAGACATACCAATGACCTGGAGGTACTGTCGTATAACACTTTGGGGGTCAGGACCCAAGAAAATGTACAGGTCCAGGATTCCACCAGTGGACACCCAGGTGAGAGCGGGAGTTGGCTGCAATCAGATCTCTACGGAGACATTAGGAAGACATTCAGTGGCAATACGAATCCTCATAATCTAGAGAAAATCATGTCCTATGGGAAGTGAATGAAAAAACTTTGCAGTGGGATGCTGGGTGTGTCTTATGCAACAGATAGCTCAGTACCAATTGCGTTGCTATTCAGAAGGAAAACTCCATGTGCCAGGCCATCCCCTTCCTGTACTACATAGAATGGATGGGAGCCATAGAGGTTAGCATCAGCCTGCACAGAAAACAGTGTCAACATTTACATCCTGAACAAACAATAGGAAAAAGGGAGGAATGACAAAAAATGTAATAAGAATCTTTCTGCAGAGACAGCGAATCCTAATATTTTGGAATGTTTGAAGTGGCATTAATGAAGCAGTAGGGTGTGACTACATTTTATCGACATCACTGGCATGTCCTATAGACTAGGGGTTCCTAACATTTTTGGCTTCTGACCCTTTAAAGTGTTGCAATGACTGATGAACAATGATGTCGTGTAAGCAGTTCAACCAAAGAAAGATGCTCCCTTCTCTGAGTTCATTAGTTTTGTTTTATTTAGATTTAGTAAACCTGAAGAGGTTAAACTAATTTGTGCTGCAGGAACACTTTTTTTTTTTTTTACTGTTTCACATTTTGTTAATTATTTCATGAAACTTTATATTTTGCTCGTGGCCCCTTGAGATGTTCACTGCAACAGACTCACATGAGGTGCCATGTCTCTGTTCCAAAGAGTCAAGGAAGTCCAGTTAAGGTCCAGGCAGAGGGAGGTATAATGCTCCCCCAGGCCAGATACAAAGGAAGAGGCCAGTGTGGTGGACAGCTGCAAGTACTGGTCAGCAAACAGCAGGGGAGCCACTGTCGTGTTCACACTGAACAGGCAAGAACGAACGAAGAAGCATACACTATGATTATCATCACTACTAATTTCACCTTTTTGAATTAATAATATATATTAAGATGTTTTTGTTCTCAAGATGGTTATTAGTCAAATAAATACTAAAACAAAATACACAAATATAGCATAATTAACCAAACTTAAAGGAAAAAAAAACCCAAGTAGAAAAGATACAAAGGGGGTTACAATGCATTCATAAAAGCACAGGGTACCAGTTACAATGATATGATCCTACTGACCAGCAATTAATAAAGTCTTAATGTACATCAGTTGCATCATATTACTATAAGAAAAAACTATACAGAATGGTGCGTTTACTTGTCTCACATACGTTATAAATCACAGGCATAAAAATATATATTAAAGAAAAATGAAATGTAAAACACTGTATGAATTGTATTAACCTAACTGTATGAAGGAGTGTCTGACTCCTGTAGGAACAGGCAGGCTGGTGACAATGCTTGACATTAGTAAGGTTATATAGATGGTTCTGTGATAGCATCTATATAATCTGACACAGCTGACAACTGAACAGAACTACTCACATCACCCTTCTGCTGGATTTTCGCCGAACTATGAAGCCAAATGGGTCAGATTGGAATTCAGTGGTGTAGAGGGCATCATGGGTATCAGCTTTGCTCTGAGGAACACCAGCTGGGAGATTTACTTCATATCGTGGAGATGATGGGTCCTTCAACTGGAGAGAAAACACATCAGCTTACTTTATTACCACCACATCCTAATGAACCAGCAGTAGAGGGTTTGATTTCTTGATCACAAACCTATGAATGAACAAATAAAGTCTTTATTATTTTCTCAATAATCATCTATACACCAGAATATTTCAGGGTTTGTTGATCCTTTGGAATCATGGGAAATTAATGCTCTTAAATCATCATCATATGTAAAAAGAAAATGGGAATAATTAACTACTACTCTCAAATAATACAGCTCACACAGTTCTTAATATTTTTGAATTTGCCAAACTCACTAGCCACAGGATGGCACTTCTGCACTATATTTTACATTCAAACTGCATAACAGTTTTCTACACCTAACATGCAAATTAACACAGATGTCAAGTGGGCACTCCTTCACTTCATCACATATTTTTAAATTGTTCCAAAGTATTAGGTTAGGTACTCACAGTAAGGTGCAAGGAGCCCACAGTCTCCTCAATGACTTCTAGATTTAGAGTAGAGATATCTCTGGGGAGATAGGAGGGGAGGGCACGAGTAAGAGTGGCAGCCTGTCCTCGCCTGGTGGGAGTGAGGGGACCCATACTGTAGCCAGGGTACCAGCTGGGGTAGAAGCACCAAGGTGGTCCTGCAGTGTTAGGCAAAGGGACATAGCAGCATCCCCTCTCCTCACACTCTCTCTGGCTGAGAAGCCTGTCCCTGGCACAGTCAAATCGACTCTCTGGGGCCATGGTGCATTTAGTATCTATGGAAATATCAGTGTCTTGAAAGTTTTCTATGTGAATTCCCCTTTTCTTCACTGAACTATTCTGTGGTTTTGTTG